TGTGTGTGTGTGTGTGTGTGTGTGTGTGTGTGTGTGTGTGTGTGTGTGTGTGTGTGTGTGTGTGTGTGTGTGTGTGTGTGTGTGTGTGTGTGTGTGTGTGTGTGTGTGTGTGTGTGTGTGTGTGTGTGTGTGTGTGTGTGTGTGTGTGTGTGTGTGTGTGTGTGTGTGTGTGTGTGTGTGTGTGTGTGTGTGTGTGTGTGTGTGTGTGTGTGTGTGTGTGTGTGTGTGTGTGTGTGTGTGTGTGTGTGTGTGTGTGTGTGTGTGTGTGTGTGTGTGTGTGTGTGTGTGTGTGTGTGTGTGTGTGTGTGTGTGTGTGTGTGTGTGTGTGTGTGTGTGTGTGTGTGTGTGTGTGTGTGTGTGTGTGTGTGTGTGTGTGTGTGTGTGTGTGTGTGTGTGTGTGTGTGTGTGTGTGTGTGTGTGTGTGTGTGTGTGTGTGTGTGTGTGTGTGTGTGTGTGTGTGTGTGTGTGTGTGTGTGTGTGTGTGTGTGTGTGTGTGTGTGTGTGTGTGTGTGTGTGTGTGTGTGTGTGTGTGTGTGTGTGTGTGTGTGTGTGTGTGTGTGTGTGTGTGTGTGTGTGTGTGTGTGTGTGTGTGTGTGTGTGTGTGTGTGTGTGTGTGTGTGTGTGTGTGTGTGTGTGTGTGTGTGTGTGTGTGTGTGTGTGTGTGTGTGTGTGTGTGTGTGTGTGTGTGTGTGTGTGTGTGTGTGTGTGTGTGTGTGTGTGTGTGTGTGTGTGTGTGTGTGTGTGTGTGTGTGTGTGTGTGTGTGTGTGTGTGTGTGTGTGTGTGTGTGTGTGTGTGTGTGTGTGTGTGTGTGTGTGTGTGTGTGTGTGTGTGTGTGTGTGTGTGTGTGTGTGTGTGTGTGTGTGTGTGTGTGTGTGTGTGTGTGTGTGTGTGTGTGTGTGTGTGTGTGTGTGTGTGTGTGTGTGTGTGTGTGTGTGTGTGTGTGTGTGTGTGTGTGTGTGTGTGTGTGTGTGTGTGTGTGTGTGTGTGTGTGTGTGTGTGTGTGTGTGTGTGTGTGTGTGTGTGTGTGTGTGTGTGTGTGTGTGTGTGTGTGTGTGTGTGTGTGTGTGTGTGTGTGTGTGTGTGTGTGTGTGTGTGTGTGTGTGTGTGTGTGTGTGTGTGTGTGTGTGTGTGTGTGTGTGTGTGTGTGTGTGTGTGTGTGTGTGTGTGTGTGTGTGTGTGTGTGTGTGTGTGTGTGTGTGTGTGTGTGTGTGTGTGTGTGTGTGTGTGTGTGTGTGTGTGTGTGTGTGTGTGTGTGTGTGTGTGTGTGTGTGTGTGTGTGTGTGTGTGTGTGTGTGTGTGTGTGTGTGTGTGTGTGTGTGTGTGTGTGTGTGTGTGTGTGTGTGTGTGTGTGTGTGTGTGTGTGTGTGTGTGTGTGTGTGTGTGTGTGTGTGTGTGTGTGTGTGTGTGTGTGTGTGTGTGTGTGTGTGTGTGTGTGTGTGTGTGTGTGTGTGTGTGTGTGTGTGTGTGTGTGTGTGTGTGTGTGTGTGTGTGTGTGTGTGTGTGTGTGTGTGTGTGTGTGTGTGTGTGTGTGTGTGTGTGTGTGTGTGTGTGTGTGTGTGTGTGTGTGTGTGTGTGTGTGTGTGTGTGTGTGTGTGTGTGTGTGTGTGTGTGTGTGTGTGTGTGTGTGTGTGTGTGTGTGTGTGTGTGTGTGTGTGTGTGTGTGTGTGTGTGTGTGTGTGTGTGTGTGTGTGTGTGTGTGTGTGTGTGTGTGTGTGTGTGTGTGTGTGTGTGTGTGTGTGTGTGTGTGTGTGTGTGTGTGTGTGTGTGTGTGTGTGTGTGTGTGTGTGTGTGTGTGTGTGTGTGTGTGTGTGTGTGTGTGTGTGTGTGTGTGTGTGTGTGTGTGTGTGTGTGTGTGTGTGTGTGTGTGTGTGTGTGTGTGTGTGTGTGTGTGTGTGTGTGTGTGTGTGTGTGTGTGTGTGTGTGTGTGTGTGTGTGTGTGTGTGTGTGTGTGTGTGTGTGTGTGTGTGTGTGTGTGTGTGTGTGTGTGTGTGTGTGTGTGTGTGTGTGTGTGTGTGTGTGTGTGTGTGTGTGTGTGTGTGTGTGTGTGTGTGTGTGTGTGTGTGTGTGTGTGTGTGTGTGTTTTTTTTT